TGGCTTTGGCCACTAGGAATGATGCCACTAGCGTCACTCTCTATTTTTTTATGTTTGGGAGAGAACTGCAGATGCCCCTTGACCTCTAATGGCCTGCCACATATTAAAGGATTTATATATGTATATAAATATCCATTTATATATATGGATAAACTGACCAAACAGCCTATTAGGTGAAGTAAAATGTATGAGAGCTTACTTAGATGTACTTCTGGGATCTCACAGCCACAAGACCAAAAGGGTTCTGTTCAAAATTCTATAGCCTCTTTGACTTAAATTTTCTCAAGATATGAAACCCAAGAAGTAGGTTGACCAAGAGCAAATTCTCCGGCGAACCCTAGCATGGCCACTGTAAGTACAGACGCTGCAGAAGGCCCCAGGGCTGAGACTGATTTCAACAGTCCACCACCGGGGAGCTGCTCACATCCCAGGAAAGGCACTGTTTGGGTACAGAAACCAACAAAGAACAACAAAGTTTGAGCAATAATCTTTTATTACTTTAAAAACAACGAAACAGACCGTGTCCTGCTTCCATGTTCTATTGGTAAAGGGACTCTGATGGGTCAACACTTTATGAGACTCGAAAGAACAGAAATCCTCACAATGGTCCCATGAAGCTCCCTTTGCACACACAGGAATAGTCTGTGGACAGACCCATTCTCTAAGTTATGTTGCCTCCAGAAACCAGAGGGAGACACACAACCCTGACTGCACGCATTCCCATGACAGTGTGTCACAACAGTAAGAACACGGTTGGTCAACTGCTTCCAGACCTTAGTCTGATTTGCTTCACTACTAACTTTTATGATGTATAACATATTATAAGCCTGTAATCCTCTTGCATTTTCCACTCAGTCCTGTCTCTTGCGGCGGGGCAGGGGCGGGGGGGGGGGGGGGGGCGACGGGGGTCGACGGGTACAAGGACTATAAGCCTCTTATTACAGAAAGACCAGAGAGAAGTGGCCGGAGTTTCTCCAGGATGTCCCCACCAATTCTAGCCCTGGCTCTGCCTCAGCCCCCGTTTGCAGACAGACCACAACCACACAGGCCCCCTTGCAGGACAGGCTGCAGGGGAAGCGGGTGAGAAAGACTCTGAGAGAATGCTAAAGTCAGCTGCTTGTGAGTCTGAGTCAGCATCTTCAAGCCCAGAGTGGCTGTTGGGAAATAGACTTCTCTCCCACAAAAACCCCAAATGCAACAGTAATCCAAGAGCTCAAAACCAAAGGGCACAATTCCAGGGCGGGAGCCACAGGCTGACGATGGGTGCCAAGGAACTGGGGGCTGGAACCCCTCACCCAAGTACTCACAGCTGCCTCCCCAACAAGCTGTGGCATTTGAGAGACAGTGAATGAAGAGCTGGGTGCTACATCGATGTGCAAGGAGCTGCTGTACTGATGTGTTATCAAGTCCTGTCCAGAGCTGGGTTCAGTGTTAAGTTCTTCCCAAATGATCAAACACAACAATGACCTCATTCTAGAAACTCTTTGCTCCAGGAAGACTTGGATGGCTTCATGTTTCAACTAGTTGTTGCTTTTAAAGTGGAGGGGTGGAGAAGGCTAACTGGGGATGCAGTGGAGAGAGTCAAAATGTTCTAATCAATGATGTATTAAAGTAATTCAACTTCAAGTACTTCTTTGGATATAACATTCTACAAAAAAAGCAAAATACAAAATCGTATAAAACCACAAACACATATACACATACTAACTTAGAAAAACGTTTAGAAGGAAAGATACTAACCTCTTAAACTATGAGTGGTGAAATTATTAACAATTTATTTCCTTCTACTCTTCAGAATATTCTAGACTTAAGAATAATCCTCCAGTTGTCTGACTGAGCACACAGCTTTGGAAGGGATGCATGTGAACTAGTGTAGGTGAAAGAAGTTACTTGTCTGGTTCGCCAGGTGGTCCAAATTAATCCTAGTCACCAACGAGACAGACAGCACAGAGTGACCATACATCCACTGACCTGCCTATATTTTTCAAACTTTCTTTAAAGACCGTTTATAGCTTTTCCAATGGGGGAAAAAGACATCGCATCTCAGCAATCCTGAGAAGTCTGTGACTTGAAGCACCAAGCACATGGGGGCCTCGAGGGCTTCTCGAACCTTCCGTTTCTCCACCCAGGGACACGAGAGTCTCCCAGTCCTGCAGGACTGTATGGAGTGAAGGGAGCAGGAGAGAAAGAGCATCCAGCATCTGGCAGAATTCTGAAATGCAAGATTAACTCAGTGTGGATTCTGGCAGTTGAACAAGAGCTGCGTATTCACTGAGCTACAGAATATTCCTGTTTCCAAAATGACAAGTTTTCCCCACGGAGGCCACTCACCCCTCATCTACCACCTGCCCTGCACCTCCAAGCTCAGCGCTGTACTCAGAGAAACGTAACATCTGAGAGAGGAAGCAGAAGTGTCTACCACGCACTTGGCCATTTCCTGCCAAGCACCACGCCAGGTCCTTTCTCTGTGTCTTCTCCTTCAGTTCTCAAAATAATGCAGAAACAAGGGTGTTGGGTCATTTTTAGAGACAGGAAAACCAGAAGTCCAAGACAACCCCAGTGGCAGATCAATTATGGGGATGGAATTTGCACATGTCCTCTGACTTGGAAGTCCTGGCTCCCAGGCAACATGAACACAAGCAGCCCTCTGGATGAAGACATATCAGAGGATTATTTCTGGCTCTTGAGGGGAACAGAGGGACAGTTCTGTGATAATATTTGCTAATATGTTTTACAAAAGCCCAAGGACTGCTGAAAGCCAATTACAGACACTGACGGCTTCCTGGAGCTTTTATGGCGGCTGCTGAAGGGAATGGAAACTCCATCCCCCGCGCTGGAACTCCTTAGGCAAAGCCAGCCGCCTGCACACGGGGCAGCAGCTGCGGCTCCCAGAGGAGTGTGGCACTGACTTGTAAAGGAGTCAGTGGTCAGCAAGTCCTCCTTTTGTGCCAGGCAACACAGAAGGGGCTTTGCACACACTCTCTTAGTGCTCACAACAGCTCTGTGCCCAAAGTGACACGAGCAGCATGTAGTGTGACTGGATTCAGACCCAGGTCTGTCTGATCCTAAGCACTGATTCTGGTAACCCAGACAGAAAAGTTCAGCTAATCCCCATCTATCATCAATCTGACAGAGAAAGCGGCTCTCTGTTGCATGCTTGGCACACCCAATCCTAACTCTCTGATGACATTCATATGTCCTGCACTTTCTGGAGCAATTCCAATTTTGGACATGTTGGTCCCACGGCACCCATGGGTGCATGAATACCTGTCTCACAATGCCGTCAGCCCCAGGGAGCCTTGCTTGCTAACCACGTCTGTGCCACCCTCAGCGCTTGTTTCTCCCATGGAGGGACGGTCACCTCTCCCACAATCCAGATCATTTGTGAGTTCTGATTTGCTTCACGTGTTTGTGCTTTATCTTCCCTGTTACACTTTAAGTTCCTTTTAAATCAACGCTTCCCAACTGGAAGACCGTTTCCAAGGAAGGAATCTTGCAAACAACAGAACACACAGCAATAGGAGAAACTACAATCTTGCCTAAAATCGTTCTGCTTACTATATTAGCAGGAGGCACAGTGTTGCACAGAATGACCCTTTTGAGACACGACTTTATAGTATGTCATCAGAAGGCAACTCCCAGAATGGGAACTGCCCAATTGTAATTTAACTGGAATCCAGTTAAAGTCCTATGCTTAGACCCAAAAACTTAAGTGCTCAAACATGACACAATAAAAATTTAGCTTGCCTATATAGTTCATTCCAAAAATTAAAAATCTTCAACTTTTGGTAGTAAAGTTAAAAACAAGCTTGCTAGTATAATGTAGTTGTTCAACAGGACAGAAAAGTGCACATATTGTTAGGATGTGTTAATGGAAGTGGCATGTCCAGATCACAGGGAGTGTTCAGCTGAACTCTGGGCAATGATGTGCTCAAGTGAGATGCACACTTAACCAAAGGATACAGCCCTCAGGGAAGGAAGAGACTTGGTGTCTAGCCTGGATCAGAAAAGACTCTAAGAGAGAGACATAAAGAAGCTTTCAGGTGTTTGACAGGCTGTGATATGGAACAGAGTCTAGACCACAAACGACTGGGTGGAAGTTACTGAGAAACAGTTTTCTGTTCAATGTAAAAAGAAACTTTCAAACCATGTCTGTGGGAGGAAGAATGATGGTCCCCAAAGATGTCCACAGTCTAAACCCCAGAACTGCATGGGTGTTACCTTACATGGTGAAGGACACCTCGCAGATGCGATTAAGGCACAGATCTTGAGATGGGGAGAGGCTCTTGGAGCATCCTTGTGGGTCCAATGAAATCACAAGGCTCCTTACAAGAGGGTGGCAGGAGTGTCAGAGACAGAGATGTAACAACAAAGCAGAGATCAGAGTCAGAGAAGGGCTGAGGAGGCTACACTGCTGGCTTTGAAAATGGAGGAAGGGGCTACAAGCCAAGGAATGAGGATGGCTTCCAGAAGCTGGAAGAGGCCAGACAACGGAATCTCTCTATAGCTTCTAGAAGGAATGCAGCCCTGCCAACACCTGGATTTTAGCCAAATAACATCCATTTCAGACTTCTGACTTCCAGAACTGTAGTAAAGTAAATGTGTCGTTTTAAGTTTGTGGTAACTTGTTAGAGCAGCGATAGGTGATGAATGCGATGTCTGACAAGGAAATAACCACTACCTGCCCCAGTGAGCTCCCTGTCCCAGGAGGCAATCAAGAAGACACTGAACACCTACCTGTCAGGAATACTGTGCAGGTAAGTCCCGGATGACCCAGGGCAGATCCCTTCCACTCTGAGAGTCCACATCTCATGGCAGTGCCTTCTCCTGCTTTCATATTTGACACGCTGGTTGCCACCCCCAGGCCTGGTCACGGGTCAGGCTTGCCCTCATCTTCTCCCAGGAGAACCATGGTAATAAGAGGCTTGCTTTGGGGGATGCCCTAAGGGCACCTGGGCCTGGGCCTGGCTCAGAGCGAAACTGCTTGCCGGGGCACCTACCTGAGCAGAGGACTCCTTTGTTCCTGGCGCAGGAGAAGTTGTCGCACTCGCAGAAAGGCCCATAGATCTTCCCGAACTCGCTCTCGAAGCAGGAACACTGGTTGCAGCTGCACTCCCCGCGCCCGCTGCACAGCGGCTTGCCCTCCGCCTCCCGGCACAGGTTCTGGTACCCACTCGGGCTCTCCCCTTCCTGGCACTCGCAGCGGGTACCCAGGTAGCTGGGGTTGCACTCGCACAGGCCGCAGACGTAAGTCCCGTTGCCACTGCACCTGGAGCTGGCCGGCTCCCGCCCTGCGCTGCAGCCACACTTACAGTTGTAGGTGACGCCCACCTCCAGGCTGTCCCGGAATCCCACGGGCCGCAGGGTGAACGTGTGCTCCGCGTGTCTGCCCGGGCAGCTCCGAGCCTCCACCGACACCTCAAAGGATGCCTGGGCAGCAAGAAGAGAGGGGGCATCGTGGCCGTGGCTGGGCAGAGCCTCTGGGGTATCTGCGTTGGCCTCCCAATTGCCCAGGGGCCTGGCCAAGGACCGACTCCTCCGAGGTCCTTGATGGAGAGCCCGGCCACAGCCAGCGCTGTCCAGGCACAGGGAGAGCCACTGCAGCGGCCCGAGGAGGAAGAGGCCCCAGATCAGCAAGCTCCCTCATTTTACTGAGGACAAGAACATTGGGGCATGCCGACATCTGACAAGCATCGTGCCTGGTTCTTTAAAGTTCATTGTCTCTTTTAAGGCTCACAACCCTGATGGAATGGGCTTTGACAGAAAGGTCAAAAGACACACTCAAGGTCACACAGCCCTTTTCCTCTTTCTTTTCATTTCTATCCTAGCCTCTCCCTGTCACCATTTTGAAAGTCACTCATTCCACAGATATTACTGGCTGCTCCCCCTGTGCCGGGCACTGCACTCGACGTGCTCCCTGAACTCACGGGGCGCAGGGGTCCACACACCCGGGCAACTGCCCATGCCAAGAAAAGTTTCCTCGCCTACTGGAGAAGGGACGAGATGACCATCCTGGTCACTTCCAGAGCGTCTGTCTCGTCACAGACACACCCAAAGCCTCCCTCTGCCCCAGTTTCTCCTGAGTGGTCCTCGCAGCTGCGTCTTTCACAATCAGCCCACGGCCCTGAGGTCATAAAGAGCCATCACTGATAAAACGCACTGCACACGCAGACAGACCTTTTCTTTTTAAACAAAACGCATAAAAAAGTGTTGCTAACTCTTCATCGGTTGCCTTGGCAACAGGCAGCAAGGTGGACCTCACTGGCAGACGGCACTGCAGGAAAGATGCCCATCAGCTGACCACACGGCTGGGATGTAAGGAAAGCAAGGAGCCTACTTGCTGTGATTCTTCAGGACTCCTCCCTCCCCCTCCTCCCTCTGAGAAAGGAGCAGAGTGCGTTAGACTCACCCAGCACCGCCTCAAAGCAGCGCACTATGGAAATGCAGACAGGGAGCTGGCGAGCTCTGACCACATGCCATCCTGAGGGGCTTCTCCCCTGAATGGTGGCGTTCCCTAACAGAGGCCTGGGCCCACTCCAGACACTGACTCACCACGTCCCGGCCCAGATGTCTTTGTTTTTCAAAAGACTCCTCATTTCATTCTGAGGCTCAGGATGGGTTAGGAACCGCTTTTAGCTATTGTTATTCTTAATTCCATTATTTGGGTTGGAATAAAGCTGATTTTTAAAAAGTCATCAATAACTTGTTTATTGGGCACTGTTTAAGTAATAATATATATTTTTGGAGAGCACTGAAAACATTTTTTTCTAAATGTTCTACAGATCCCTATCACTTTGGGATCTTTACTAATTCTAAAAGGTCTCCCCTCAGATTCTGTGACATCTAGGGACACTGCAGGGTGGGTACGGAGATGTGTGAGACTGAGCAGGACAGACCCAGCTCTCGAGGGCCTGGACAGAGTCCTGCTTGGCAGCAAGCCATGGCTCCATGGGACTCAACAAGACACCCAGGAGTCAGTGCTAGCCAAGGGGTGTCACAGGAGATGCCACTGGACAGGTAAGCTGAGGACAATGACCAGGAGCCAGGGTCAGAGGACATCAAGCGCGCTGCAGACAGTTGGGACTAGCCTACCTCACCCTCCATGTCTATGTGAGAGATTGAGGCAAAGGGAGAGATTGACAAAAGCAAGTTCAAGACAAAGTTCTAAGGCCCTGAGGTACAGGTGGGCTCTCGAAGTAAGGAAATAAGATGGGGAGCCCACCCAGGCACTGAAATCTGCCCAGTGACAACAAACACTAATGGCTACCAGGTGCCGAGTGCCCACAAGCACTGTGCTGGGCATTGCCAGGAGCATCTCATTTACATGCTCTAGAAGGAGGCACCTCATCTACCAGAGAGAAATTGGACTTGGTGGGGGGGGGGGG